CTCAAGCAGGGATCCCCCAGACGGCTGCCCACAGACACAGGAGCCCAGACACAAGCACGTGCAGCCGGGCGCAGGCCGAGGACGGGAGACGTCCGCTCCGCCTGCCCGCCTGTCTCCCTCTGACACACCAGACGGAGACACCTCCCGCGGCCCAGCCTCGCCCGCACCCTGCTCTGCGCCAGCGCCAGCCCTCACCCGCCCAGAGCCCCTGGTGCTGGGGGTGGTCAGGTCACCAGCGTCTCCCAGAAGAGGCCCGAGACCCCTCTCTGCTCCGGGACACATCTGTGTACGCACAGGACAGACGGGCAGATGGGTGGCGATGGCTAGGTGGTGGACGGGCGGACGAACGGCAGATGGGTGGATAGGTGACGGACCGACAGACGGACGGATGGAGGGATGGACGGATGGAGGGGCCGCGGGAGGCGGTGGACGCAGGAAGGCCGGCTGGGCTGGCCGCTACCTGCCCGGCTACCAAGGAGCGGAGCCGAGCGGGGCCGCGTGCGGTTGCCTCACCTGGAGAGCGCCCAGCGCCCCATGAGTGGGTCAGAGTTGGGGTGTCAAAGTCTGGCTGGGGGAACAGGGAAGAAGACTCCAGCACCAGCCCCCACCCAGGCCCAGCTCCCTCTGGGGCCTTTTCAAGACATCGCCTATGAGCATATTTTTAAACATGTATCTATTTACGCACACAAGAACTGGGGTGCAGGCCGGGTGTGCGGGGGCGGTGGTGGTGAGGGGCTCCCCAGAGACAGGGTGGGGAGCAGAACAGGCGGGCGGCCTGACACCCAGTGCTGGGGGGCAGCGGGAGCCAGGAGGGGCTGCGGCGCCCTGGGGTCCCTCCCGGGCCGGTGCACACAGGCTGCGGCAGCTTCCCAGCACCGAGACTGAGCCCCAGGGCCGCCGGGGAGGCCCAAGTGTCTAGAGACCGGAGACCTCGCCCGCGGGCCCTGCCAGGGCGCCCCCACCGGCTGTCTAAGCTGCGACTTGGCGGCGGCTTTGTCCCCGCGAGCATCCACACGCGCCCTCCCGGGGCCCTGCTGGGCGGGGGCTGCGTCTGCTGGGCGTGTCCTCCAGGACGAAGCCTCGCACTCAGGCACGGTTCCGGCTGCCTGGGGCGCGTCCCGCCGCCCGTCTCCCGTGGCTCAGCGCGGCCTCGCTGCCTCTGCTCAGCATGGCGGAGCTCACAGGCGGCCTGCACCGTGCAGTCTGCGGGGCTCATCCTGTCTGCAGGCAGCTTGCTACCCACAGGGCAGCCCCCCACCCAGGCGCCACGCGGCTCCCCGATCCTGGACCCCAGCAGTCCCTCCTCACGGGCGCCCCCACGTGGGGGTCCTGCGTGTTGTCGCGCCACCACCCCCATCCACCCCCAGACTGTGGCCACATCTGTGGGCCTGTGCGAACCCCAAGGCAGCGCTGCCCCCCGCCCGCCTGTCACTCACCCCTGCGTGGCCTGGCGCAGACCCGGCCCCTGGGCCTCCTGACTCGGGGCCTCTCCTCGGCAGAGCCTGGGGGTCAGGACTCTTCGGGGATGGCAGAGCCGTCAGGCGTGGGGTGCTCCCACCGCGCCCCTCGCTCACTGGGGCCTCCAGCCACAGCGCAGCCCCGCACCTCCTTCCAGCCCCCTCCCACCCTTGGCACCCTCCGCAGGTCGATCCTCAGGACCCCACCTGGGGCTCCGGCTCTCCACACCCCGCCCACAGGCAAGGGAGAGGGGCCCCCTCCCGGGTGCAGGCAGAAGAGGAAACTGAGGCTCAGAGACGCTGCACAACCAGTGACCCGCTGGGCGGCACGTGGGCTCGGCCCCGGTCAGCCGCCACCCGTGGCCGCCGGAGCTGGGGGTGGGGTGGCCCCCACTGTTCGTGAGGGGCCCGCCTGTGCACAGGGCGGGGCGCCGCGGCCCCCCCACCCCACGTTGCAGGAACAGAGCTCCGCGGTGCAGGACGAGGCGCAGCAAGCTGCTTGGGATCAGCCACCTCGGCTGTGAGGGCCGCGGGGCGCCTTGGCTTCGGGGTCTGCGACGCGCGCCATGCGCGACAGGTCAGCCAGTAGCCCCAAGGATGTTTTCCTTGGCAAAAGGCAAGTTTTCCCTCCCCAGAGACATCCCGTCCTGGGCAGGACGCAACAGCCCGGAAGCTTCCGGGAGGGCAGGGGAAGAGGCCGAGCGGCTCTTTGCAAGGCACAGACGACTCCGGGGAGGACCCGGGCGCAGGCAGCTGCGGGTTTGCGGGAGGGCGAGAGCCCACGCCCTGCTCCGTCCACTCCAGGCTGCCCCAGCGGGGGCGGGAGGGGCCGGCGCGCCGCCCCTGCGCTGGACACACCCTGGCCGATCGCCCCAAACCCGCCTCACACCCCTCCTGGCTCCTTCCCTCCTGGCACAC